TCCTGGGGGGTGCTGGGACTGGTTCCCCCCCCTGCTGTGGCACCCCAAGATCCCTCCCAGCTCGGGCACCCTAAGGGCCCCCTGTGTAGGGCACCTCGAGACCCACCATTTGGGACACCCCGAGAATCCCCATAAAAGGGGCACCCCAAGACCCCACTTGGAACATCCTGAGATGTTATGTGGGATGCCCAGATGCCCCCCCCATCCAGGACACCCCAAACTCCCCCCCACCTGGGACACCCCAAGAGCCCATCGAGAGCACCCAAAGACCCCTCCTATCTGGGACACCCCAAAACAGCCCTCATCCAGGGCACCCTGGGCCACCCTGGACCCTGATCACGTGCACCCCGCGTACCCCATTCAGGGAACTCCAAGCACCCACATGCCATCACAGCCCCACGGCACAGGCCCCCGCTCCCCTCGCTACAGAGAAACTGGTAACGATGAAAACCTATGGCCACGGCACCGGCGGTGTGCTGACAGCTCTCTGTGGGTGCTGCTGCCCATGGGTCCCCACGGCCGGGGGGAGCCACTCTCTGTAGGTGCCGCTGCCCATGGGTGCTGCTGTCCATGGGTGCCGCTGTCTGTGGGTCCCTACAGTCTGTAGGTGCCACTCTCCATGGGTGCTACTGTCTGTAGATCCCTGTTGCCCATGGCTCCCAACTGTCCATGGGTCCCCACTGCCCAAGGGTGCTGCTGCCTGCAGGTCCCTGCTGTCCCTGCACACCTGCGGTGGCCCGGCCAGCCCTGCAGAGCCGGGACAAAGCCTGGGCGACTGGCTACCACACAGAAGTGGCTGCTGGTGGGTGCAGCCGGGGACAGGGTGACAAGAAGATGCCCAAGCAGGGCGAGAGATGGGGGATGAGCAGCACCACCTTGCCAGGAGCAGGAGCACCTGTGGGGACAAGGAGAGGGCCAGACCCACAGCAAGGTCACCTGGCCTGGACAGGGACGAATCTACCTGTCAGGAGGAGGCAGATGTCCCCATCGGTTCCTGCTCCTGCCCCAAGCTGGCACCTGCTTTTTTCCCAGCTGGCTTTGCTGAGCCTCTGCAGCCCCGCCATACTGCCCCAGTGCTGGCGCAGCTTCGGGGATGCCAAAGCCATCCCAGAGGGTGCCAGCTCCGGTAACCCAGCACACTCCAGCAGATTAGCGCAACATGGCAAGCGGGGCGATGAAAATGTTGCCCTTCCTCCCCTCCACCCCCCCCCCAAAAAAAAGTGAGCACATTCTGCAACAGAGAACGCATAAAGCCATTTTCTGATGAAAAAATAATGAATCCCTAATTGCCCAAGGGCTGTCAGTGGCATGTGGCTCATTAACAAATCACATAGGTAGGTGTCACACCTGTAGGCACAGACCAGAGCACCACTAATAGCCGAGCTTTCAGCCGGGGAGAAAACAAGCGCCCAGGCAGCCTTTCGGTAGTCACTGCTCCCCAAAGGGGTCGATGGCACTTTCCGACAGCTGCCTTGAGAGCCCCAGCGCAGCCGGGGAGAGCTGCGGCAGCGGGGTGTGCAGCAGCCCCGGCGCAGCAAGACGCGGTGGCAAACCGTGCCACGGTCGCCTGATGCCAGGTGACGGCACCCAGGGAAGCAGCGAGGCCCCGGGGCGCATTTTCCCCATCACCCCATCCCGCGTCGTGCCCCGGCTGCCCCAGGGAGTCACAGCGTGGCCACGGGGTTTGCAGGAGGGTCCGTGCCCCCGGCACACGGGAAGCAGAGGGTAAACGCTGCTGAAAAGCAAACGACTGGCAGACATACGGACCGGCAGATACACAACCCAAAACCAGAGCAGGGCGGCTGGTCCCGAGGACGCTGGAACGGGCGCTGAGAGGCTGCAGGCAGTGAGACACCACAGGTAGCACAGGAATTCATATATAGTAAAAAGTCTTTATTAAGAAGGCTTTGAAGTCAAAAAATAAAACTCTTGATACAATTTTCATAACCGTCAAGTCAGCTCAGCAAATATATAATCAGTACTTTAGCCATGTAAGGTTAAAGGTCCGTTATTTTCTTTTTAAAATAAAATATATTTTAGTTTTTAAAATTTATTCAATAAAGTACATATTTTCCTATAAATTCCCTACATATACATAAAGAGGTATAAAATAAAAAAATAAAACTAAAAAAAAAAAAAAACCAACAAACCAAAATCAACCACAAAATAAAAAGGAGATAGAAATCTGTCTGGTTTTTGCGACATGGCGTGTTAACTGTGCCCCTCCGTCCCGCGAGCTCCCCCTGCCCGGCCTGGCCCCTCCAGCCACGACGCCCGA